TAAATATCTCGTACCTATGGTCAGTTGTCACTCTTACCTTTTAATTGTCACATTGACAGATATATTTCACACGTGTCACTTTTTCGTGATTTTTGTCCTCTAGCCGTGCATGAAGTTCACGACAGATACAATCTCACGCGTGCGGATTGGAATTGTGATATGGAAGACAATAATCAAAAATAATGCACTTGTAGGATATATCTTACCAGGCTAACAATTAAAAGACAAACGATAATTACTCGAAATTTCACCTATTTTTATACTCAAAATTACACGAGACTTGCACAATTAATCTGAAACAACCAACCAAACGAACCAACTAATGATATTGTTATGTCCATCCGAGGTTATTTAGGGCCCTAAAAATCTTAAATGATAAAAAATGTAAAGTTATTTTTAGAATTTGAATTGAACGGAACTTGCACGGTTTATCCAAAACGACCAAACAAAATGTAAGCCTATTTTTAGACTCCCAATTAGATTAAATTTGCATGATTCATCCGAAACAACCAAACAAATTAACTAATAATATTTTATTGTCAAATCGAAGTCATTTTGGGCCCTAAAAATCCTAAATGCTAAAAAAGAAAAATTAAATTAATTTTTTTACAAGAAATTGAATGAATGGCCTAATACAAGCTCATCAATGCACAGGAGTTTGTCTAACACCGAGTCATCAATATATAAGAGTTGGCCTAACCGAACTAACCCACTTTCAATCAATCGGATAGCCCAGCACCGACCTATCAAACATAAGAATTAGTCTGACACTGACTTAACCATTCATCTTATTAGCTAACCTAGCACCAACTTCACTACTTTACAAATCAACAATCACACATAACATAGGACGTAATCATATATCCACATAATCATTTTACAAGAAATCTCAATTCATATCAATTCGGCTATATATAAACAATATGCTCATCATGTTCTCATATCAATTCACATTGACATATAATCATTCTTATAGTCTATCAATCAAGCGACAATCAGATGGCCTATCAGACATGCAATATTTATCCCCTTACATCACTTACAGGAATCTAATAAACTCAACTACTATCGACTCGTGTCACTTTGTTCGGTCGAATTCCACAAAACCACCAAACACGAGCAATCATCTTACTTAAAGTTAGCCCAAATCATAAAATTTCACCATAGATTCATCCTCGGTCAAACAATTATAAAACTAGTTCCAGATCAAAAGGTAACATTCTCAAACTTGATTTCAAAGAACAAAATTTTTATTAATGTTTCAAATCATACCCATAACATGATCTTAACTTACACAATTCACCCACTTTGGAAAAATAGCGTAGTTCTATCGTAAAAATCACTAAAAATTTATTTTACATCCAAATGAGATAAAACCAATCTTTAATTAAAGCTAACACATGTACTAAAGCTACAATTAAATAGAAATATAAAAATAAGCTCCAAGAGAGAAAAATATTATTTAAGAAAACTAAGCTGTTCTAGTGTGAAACTTTAGAAAATTATATAAAATTTATTTCTACTCAAATGGGAAAAAATTAGTCTCTAATCAAAGTTAAAATACATATATACACCTCTAATTATATACGAGTATGAAAAAAATACTTAATAATAACAAAAAAGTTCGTTGAACACACTGCTACATTTCTCACTAAGAAAATAGGGAGTGCAACTTTAGAAAACCATAAAAAATTCACTATTCCTTCAAATAACTCATTTGATATGCCCAATCAAAGATAAAAACCACGAAGAATCAACATATATTTTCAAAATAGTAGGCCCATAGTTTAAATAAACAAAATAACTTCGGATATACCCAATGCGTACTTTCAAGTAGCGGTTGCGGGTTCCCACGTCATCCAAAAAAAAAAAACTTCGGATAATTCATAAAAGTCGTAAGATCGAGTTTAAATGGTGAAAAAGAAAAAAATATGAAAAGCTTACCCAAAATAATTTCAAAACAGAAGTGGGGGAGATGGGAAGTGGCTAGGGTTACCTTGGGGTATTTGGGAATAAAATAAGAGTGATGGGTTAAAAATGATGTTTTATATTTTAAAAGAAATTTAAAGTTGTTAACACGATTTTTAAAAATGTATATTTAAAAAAAAAAAAAAAAAAACAGATCTTTGGTCAATGTTTTGACCATAAAATTTTCATTGTTCGATTGACTCACTGTTTCCGGTGTTGGAAAGCTAAATCATAAACCTATCCAATGACATAAATTTCGTTCAAAATGGACAAGGATTCATAAATTTGTAGCCATTTGAAATCAACATATCAACAACAATAATTTTAAACATTCAAATAAATAAAACACCTAGTGACCTAACTCGACTACGGGTCGGGTATTGCAATCACTCCACCACTAACTTTTATTTTTTTCTTCAGGATTCTCTTGTCATTTGGCATAGCAAGAAACAAACAGTCGTCTTTTGGTCTAAAATTGAATTTGAATGTTGTGCCCTTACTTATGCTACTTTTAAGTTCTTGTGGCTTCGTTGACCATTTGATGATCTTAAGGTACCTCAGCAATCTATTAGTATTATATATTACGATAATAGAAATGTTATCCAAATTTCTCACAATGACATAAGTGCACTAAACGCATCGATATTGATTGTTATCTTGTTCATTATCATATTGCTTATGGGAATGCTAGATTATGTCATTTTTTTTTAAGATCAAACTACGGATATCTTCGCCAAATAATATAATTTTGATTATTTTAAATCTGATCTCTTGCACAAATTGAAGTAAGATGTATATGTATATTTATTATTCATATATTTTATTGTAGATTATATTATTTTATGGATTATATTAAAATTTATTGTGTATTTGGTTATATCTATTTAATTTATGTTGTCGTTATTTGAATTCACCAAGTCAATATCATGCTTATTTTATAAGCCTCTAATTTTATTATTGAAAAAATAAGTATATAATTTTTACAAATTTTCATATGATATTAGAGTCGAAATGTTTCATATTAATATTCCAATCCCAACACTCTCATTTATCATCAATGATGTGAAAGATTTATAAATGACGTAAATTCCTCTTGCACATGAAAAGGTGTTATAGTTGCTTTAATAATTTAAAAATAAATAAATTATACATATATATATATTTTTTTTATCAAGTTTAAGGTTTTAAATAAATTTTCATTTAACAAATATAAACAATTGAACAAAAATTATTTTTAGTCTCATTCAATATTACAATTATCAATGTTGATTCCATTGAAATTTTTTTTTTATCAATTTTGGTTCAACTCAAATGAAAATTTATCAATTTTAGCCCCATGATGGTTTATTGGGATTGAACACGACCGTGTTAATTTGAACACAACTGTGTTGGATAACTCAAAAAAGTGATTTGGCGTCTCAAACAGCCAACACGACCGTGTTGATTACCCTGCACTGAACATGACCATATTCATGACCTTGTTCACGGTCATGTTCTGAACACGGCTGTATTTTTTCCCGTATTCATGCCCATGTTCTGAATACAACTACATTTCTGCTCATTTTCAGTATTATGTTCTCAATGCATCCATGTTTTAGGTCATGTTCATCACCCTGTTGTCAACCAGACAATTATGTTCTAGGTCATGTTTTCAATGTAGTCAAATTGTAATTCGTATTTATTATTATTTCACTTTTTGTTAAAATTGTTTGATATATATTTATAATTCAACTAAAATATTTTTCAATTATTTTATAATATAAAAAATAATCAATTTTTAATAATTAAAAGATTATTGCAACAAAATTTATAAAAATAATAATATATTAATATATATTTTTAAGAATCATAAAATTATATATATTTTAAAAAAGTAATAGTAAAATTTTTAAAAATAGTTTAATTTATAATTTTAGAAATAGAAATTATAAGTAATTATAGTTTAAAATAAAAAAATATAAATATTATTTAAAAAATTTATAATATTTATAATAATTGTAATTATATATTTAAAAATTTATAATGTAATTTTAAAATAAATTTAATTTATAATTTTAAAAATATAAAATATAAAATAATTATAGTTCATTATTTAAGATAAAATAATATAAATGATAATTGATATTGTTTTAAAATTTGTTTAGTAAAAATATTATAATTTTTTAAAAATAATATCTATATTATCTATTTTAAATTATAAACTATAATAATGTTATATATAAATTAAATTTATTTTTAAAAAGTTTATTATAAATTTTGAAAAATATATCATTACGATTATTAAATAAAAATTAATATATTATTATTTTTATAATTTGTTTTGCAATTATTTTTGAAATATTAATATTTAATATATTTTATATTATAAAATATATTGTAAAAAATAATTTGGTTGACTTATAAATATATATCAAATAATGATTACAAATAAATTAAAATAATAATAAATATAATTTATAATATGACTATATTAAAAAAAAAAAAAGGTCATACACATGACCTAAAACATAGTTGTATTGAACAAGGTCATAAACATGATCAAAATTATAATTTTGTTTAGAACACGGACATGAATACGAACAAAAATACAATCGTGTTTAGAACATGACCGTGAACAAGAATATGAACAAAACCATATTCAGTGCAGGTAATCAACACAGTCGTGTTCAATTCCAGTAAACTATCATGGATTAAATGGATTAAAATTGATAATCTTTATTTAAATAGAATCAAAATTGATAAAAAAATTTCGAAGTAAAATTGATAATTATAATATTTAACTCGAAAGAATATTCCAAAAATGTATAGAGAAAAACAGCACACGAGTTTGAAGGGTAATTCGGTCAATATGATTCCTAGTTTAGAGTACAGTTATGTATTCTATATTATTATTACAAGGTTTGGAGAGACATATGGAAGGGCATTGTGGTATTTAAATGAACGTTAAGGGGTGTAGATGTAATTTCAGTCAGCACCCAACCTAGCTGTATTGGCTGTTGCGTCTTCTCTCACCACAAAAGGGTAAAAACAATGAAAAAGCAAGAAACCATAGAAAGAGAGAAGTCTCTCCTTTCCTCTTCTCTCTCTCCCAGCTCGTTCTCTCTCCCTCTCTCTCTCTCCTTTTTCCTTGCGTCTGTCTCTTATCACTTCACTTTCTTTTCGGCTTGGGTTCTTTCCTTCGCCCCTCCACAAAACCAAGAACAATTGTGTTGGATTTGTTTGTGTGAATTGGGAATTATGGATTTGGATTGATGACTTTGCCTTGTCTTGTTCTTTTCTGTGATTTCTTTTTTGAAACCCTAAAATTTGACTCGCCGAGGATTGAGCTTCATTGATTGAAGAAGGGCGGGTTTGGATGAGATTGAGACGGGGCATCGTAAAGAGGAGGAAACAGGAACTGCACCGGAAAGAGAGGCAGGAATAATAGTGGTTTTTGATGCCGCCGGAGCAATTGCCCTGGGATCGAAGGGATTTCCGGAAGCACGAGAGATCCGCGTCCGAACAACGGTTTGGTGGCGGGGGATTCGGCGGTGGAGGGCCGCATAGGTGGCGGGAGCAACACCACCACACCCACGGGCCTCCGGCGCCTCCGCCGCACCCGCCGCCTTATCATCACCACAATAACCAGCAACAGCAGCAGCAGCAGCGTTGGTATTCAGATTTTCGCTCGTCTCGCCCTGTCCCGTCTGGTGAGTACCAAATTTGGGATTCCCAAAGAAATTTGCTTTCAGATTTTTACCAGTTGAGTCTTTTTTGAGAAGGATTTGAGTGTTCTTTTCCGGTTCAGACAAATATAGGGCGTTATTTCCAATTTGACTAGAAGGATTGGATGTGGTGCGCATATTTGGGCGACGGATTTTAACTAGTTTTCTTTGGGTGAGTACTTTTTAGGTAGAAAGCCTTTCCATGTTGTATTTTTGTGTATGAACTCTTGAAATTAGTCACCATAAAGCTGGTTTAGGACCTTTCTTTTTAGTTATATGGCTCTATGGGGGATTTGGTGGATATATTTAGTGCAGATCTGATGTTTTAAATAAAAATTGAAGAGTTTTTCATGTGGATATTGTTATATAGATCTGTGCCCTGCCTTCCCTCTTTTGGGGGTAATTTCGTTGAATTACTATGCTAGAAGATATATTGATTTCGATATGGTTGATTTATGAAATAGTTTCTTGTGTTAATTGTTTTTTCCACTCTTTTTGGCTTTAAAATTTTTTGCTGAAGGCCATAGTAAGCAGGGTGGTTGGCATGTGTACCCAGATGATGCTGGTCCTGGATTCATGCCTTTTGGATCGAGATATGGTGACAGACATATAGAAGATGATAACTTTCAATCTCTAGGGTCTCGCAACGATGGGAGGTATTTTAGGAACAATAGGGAGAATAGGGGATCCTTTAATCAGAAAGACTGGAGATCTCCTTCCTGGGAACCTGCTGCAACCTCCAGTGGTCCAGGGAGACCTGCAGCTGATGTTGGTAATCCAAAGCCTGTAGCGAATTCTGAAATATGGCATAATAGCAAGTCCAATGACTCCTCTCATCATCCTCTTCCCACATCGAGTCAATCTTTGTCTCTTATGAAAGAGCAGGAGAGAAATGATTGTACACCTAATGTGGGGGATAGCTCATGCCAGAAATCTGAGAAAGAAAGTGGTCTAGAATCAGTAGATTGGAAGCCCCTGAAATGGACTCGGTCAGGAAGCTTGCCTTCGAGGGGCCCTAGTTTTAGCCAATTGAGTGGCGCTAAGAGTGCTGGAGCAGATGCTATTGAGACAATGGTTGAGGTGCAGCTGAAGAGTGCAGTGCCTGTTCAATCTCCTTCGAGTTCCAATGCAAAGTCCAGTGTTCCTGCTTCGCGTGAAGAGATTGCTTCCAGGAAGAAACCGCGACTTGGCTGGGGTGAGGGTCTTGCAAAGTATGAAAAGAAGAAAGTTGAAGGCCCTGAAGATGGTGTTGCAAAAGATGGACTAATAGTTAGCATCACAGCTGCAGAAACTGTGCAGTCACCTTCTGTGAACCTGTCTGATAAGAGCCCTAGAGTTGCAGGTACTTCAGGTTGTGCTTCGCCTGCTACGCCGTCATCCTTTGCTTGTAGCTCTTCACCAGGTAATAGTCCTGGACCTTTATTAGAATGTAACTTATTCTCTTCTTAGTTGTCTGTCAATGTGACCTCTTTACCTGCTGTTCGTGCACATCTGAGCTGCCGAAGTAATATAAAGGGAACATACCTTTTCACTCAATAACACAATATTTCTGTTGATTGCATGCTTACTTGGTTAGCATGTTTGCCTGTTTCAATATTCTATGAATTATCTTCACTTGCTTGAAGTGCATTCTTGTTTCATATTAACAACTTGCATACCCCATACACATGGTGCTGGTTTTTTATGCTATAAATATTGGGGTTCAGGTTACAAGAAATTTCCCTTTATATTTTTCCGTAAGGTGCTGTTGCTGATCTAGTAATTGAATTGATTAGGATTCTTAGAAACACAGGACATGAGGGGTTAAGGTTTTAATCTTGTGAGATTTTGCCTTTTTTGTTTTTGTAATATTTCTTCTGAATACAGCTCCTCAGAATTTATGTACCATATGATGGATCCTATCTCTGTGGCAGAAAGAGCAGAAAAATAAATGAAACTTTAAAATTAAGAAATGCAAGATCAATTTGTTCTTTTACACTCATTTGTTATAGAGCTCAATTATGTAAACGGAATATAACTCATATATAGATAGATAGGCAGTAAGGAATCCTAATATGCAAACAAAGATCTTTGAGTTGATATCTTTAGTGGCTTATAAAAATGTCCTAATCGAAATTGAAATCACTTCCTGTTTACATCGTTTATCTGATTCAAAGAGAATATCCTGATGGTCATCATGTTTGATCTTCTTATTCTAAGGCCTCTTGTTTCAGTGTACTTTTGTAATTGTTACCTTCACATAAGCACATGCTCTATCACCCTCGCATTCATAGCTGTTTCTGGTCTGCTCATATATCTGGTTTTTGCTTTCCAACCTTTCTCATGTTCTTGTGTCGCTGGAAAAAATTCTTTGTTGAACGTTATTAATTTATTCTTTTTCCAACAGTCCAAACTAATTGTTGATTGGAGATGGGGTTTCTTGATGTTGTATGGCTTGAAAGAACCTGAAATCCAATACATTTAGGTGAAGTACAAACTGTCTTGCTTTGTGAAACTGATATCATTAGAATTAGATAGGGAGCTTTCTTTTATTATTTACTATTGGGCTGCGTAAGTATAGGGGGGGAAGCATTTACTTGAAAACAAGAATTCTATTTTCTGTCCTTTTCAAAGTGCCTCAAGTACCAAAGTGACAAAAGCAACAATTATACATGGAAGTTGTTATCGATATTTTGAACATAAGCCCAATTTACGGTTAAAAAAAAAATATGCTAGAAAGGCATGCCTTTTGGAAAAGGGTGATTTTGGATGGAAAGCATCACAGCTGTTTGAAAATAAAGCTGTTTTTTAAATGAAGGTATGTGTGAATTGGATAGTGGGTTGTGCATATTGCATTTGAATGAATACATTTGATTGTTAATCGATCAATATGCAATTAGGTATGAAAGCAACCAACATGGATAGCATACTACTAAAACTTTTCTTGCGAATTGGACATGCATGTTTGATTCATGGATGTTATGGCATCTCAGTGCCCGTAGTGTGGAAAATTGTGTATTTCATTAAATAATGAAAAAATATGGATAAAATTGGTTGATGTTGCTCCAAGAGTTCATATAACTTTATGTGGTCTATCAATGGGGAGATGTACAGTAAAAGGCATGAGTATAGATAAGCATCCTAAATGTCATTGTTATTTATTATTATTTGCCTTATGAACTCTATTAGAGATTTATTTGATTTATTATATATTTTTCATAGAAACTTGAAGTTAACTATTGCTACTATAATAATGATAACAATAGCTGGTCATTTTTTTGAATTAAATCATTGAAGGGGACTGTGTGAGTGCTGGTAATGTCGTTTGTATTAATGTACTCAATAGTTCTCTTACTTTGCAATTTTTAAATATGCAGGTATTGAGGAGAAAGAGTCCATCAGGCCTGCAAACACTGATCAAGAAAATGTTAATTTGTCTTCTTCACCTTGTATTACATCCAAGATGCACCATGATGGACCAACTTTTAATTTAGAAAGCATTGATCTCACATCTATTGTCAAGTTGAGTTCTCTCATAAATGATTTGCTACAATCAGAGGACCCAAGTTCCGGAGAAGCAGATTGCGCACAAACAACCTCAATGAGAAAGTTGTTGGTATGGAAGGTTGATATACTAAAAGCACTTGAGGTGACTGAGTCTGAGATAGATTTACTTGAAACCGAGCTAAAGTCCCTGAGAGCTGAACCTAGTAGTTGCTTTGAATGTCCAGCTACCTCCGGTTTGTTGCCAGGAGAGTTTCCTTTGAAACCTAGTGAAGAGCAAGCTACTGTTTCAGCTTTTACTGTTGAGCCTGCTCCTCTTCCGGGTGGTTCAATTGGAAGCATGAATGTTGAGACTATGCCTGCTGCAGTGAAAGAAGAGCGTGAGGCGTTAAAAAATGAGGGGATAGATAGTCCAGGCAGTGCTCCAATTACAATCAGTGAGCCCCTTCCTGTGGAAGATGTCAATCTTCCCGATACAGCTGAATGCAAAGGTTTTGTCAATTTGGACTCCAGCAATTCCAGTAACTTGAATCTCCTGTGTATAGAGAATGGTCTCAACAATGAGATTAACTCTTCTCATGTTGATCTTTCTGAACTTATCAAAGACAGTTGTCAACATGCTAATGTTGAACATGTGCATTGTGGGAGAAACCGTGGTTATGACTGTATATTGGCTTCCAATAAAGACACTGCTAGTTGTACTTCAGAGGACTTAAATAAGTTATTACCCTCCGGACACTGTTCCTTTGATATTTCAGTTGCATCCAATGAATCATCTCTAGGGCGGAATTCATCAAGAATCAAGGAGAAGTTTCTAGTGAGGAAACGATCCCTCAAGTTTAAGGAGAAAGTTATAACACTGAAGTTTAGAGTATTTCACCATTTCTGGAAGGAAGGTCGCATGGTATCTGTAAAGAAACTGAGGGGAAAATCTCACAAGATGTCAGATATGAGTCAATCTGGGCATAAGAAGTATCGTACATCCAGTCGCTCTCGAATTTCGTACTTTGGTATTGTTTCATTTGCCTACATTTTTCTATTTTGCATCTTTCATCGCTATATTATTCTATGCTGCAATAATTCTTGTCTTAGTTTTTCATAGAAATTATGATGGCATATAATTTGCTCTATGCACCATTATTACAAAATGACTTGCATTTCTATTAAGATGAAATCAAAACTTCATCCTTTTTTTGAAAAGACAAACTGGCGGATGATACATGATACAATGAATAGTGAAGGAGACTTAGGCTTTCTCAGTAGATGTACTTTCTACAAGATCACAAAAAGGCTGACTCGAGAAATGCAAAAGCAAGAAATGTCTCCAAAGCTCATATTGGAATTGGCATTTTCTTAAAAAAAGTTCTTGTGGGTTATGTTGCTTATGATGATGTTCTGTTTTTTCCATATTAATCACGTTCTTTCTGTTCCGTAAGTTTGACCCATTAATTGTTGTGATGGTTTTCTTTTGAGAGTTCTATATTCAACATCTTAAGGAAGATTCTGTGGGTACCCTGCTTCAAAGTCATTTGTTTTTCAAGACCTTATTAAGCGTGTTGCATTGCCCTTTTTTTCTTTTTTTTTTTTTTGTTTGTTTCAAGAGTTTTCTCTGATTCCATTAGTCATTTGATCTTGTTTCCCAGCTAATTTCTGTCACTTTCTAGTATTATAATTTTGTTCTAAGTATGATAAAATTTAACCAAGTTACTTGTCAATGCTAGCAAATGTTGTGGTCGGAGAGCAGACACTAGTTAAAACTTATAATTTTTGCTAATTTAAAAATGGCCCAAAATCCTTCTCTTTAATTGTGACAAAAAAGAAGAGGAGTATCTGGTTCAATTTCATATATTATATCAAAATTTCACTCGTGAACATCCGGTAATTGTTCAGTTCGAATGTCTTTGAATGATGTTAGCAGTATATCAACACTTCTTTTTTTTTTTTTTATCGGATTGTAACCTGCTCACTATGTTTCTGCTGTAGATTTCAACATGAAGTCCTGTTTACATTTGATGATTTGCAGCATTCACCACCAGTTCCCTTGCTTTTGATCTAGGATTAAAAATATAGAATGAAAATTAGGTATTATTAGTTACTAAGATTGAGCTGGCTTCAGTTTCAGATATGCCAAGAATTGATAAAAAGTTTCCTGAATTTGACGTTCCGTTTTATTGTTGGATAGCGTTGATTACAATATTTCCACCGATACTTATTGCAACCATTGCTCAAGTGCAAGTATTTGCTTCAGCTCGGTGACGGTGGAATTGTTTCCTGACATTCTTCAAACTGTCTTCCTACATTGCAGCTTGGAACAATCAAACAGTGTCTGCAGAAGAAGTAATTAAGTTTATCAATGGCTTGCTCTCTGAGTCAGCATTCAAACCCTGTAGGAGTACTTTGAAGATGCCAGCCTTAATATTGGACAAGGGGACAAAGATGTCGACGTTCGTTTCAAGTAACGGCCTAGTGGAAGATCCTTGCGCCGCTGAAAAAGAAAGGTCGATTATCAACTCCTGGACTGCTGATGAGAGGGAAGTTTTCATTGATAAGCTTGCTACTTTCGGGAAAAATTTCAGGAAGATTTCTTCGTTTCTGGAACACAAAACAATAGCTGATTGCATTGAGTTCTACTACAAGAACCATAAATCCGAATGCTTTGCAAGAGCCAGAAAGAAGTCAGAGTTTTCGGAACAGAGAAAGCCTCAAAACACCACATACTTGGTTGCTACCGGGAAAAGATGGAACCGTGAGGTCAATGCTGCGTCCCTCAACATTCTTGGCGAAGCTCCGAGGCGGGACAATGGTTCGCTGCGGAGATCTAATAGTCTTGAAATTTACAGCAATGAAACCGTAGCTGCCGATGTTTTGGCTGGCATTTGTGGTTCTCTGTCTTCCGAGGCAGTGAATTCTTGCATCCCGACTTCTTTCGACAATGCTGATGGGTACAAGGATTGGAAGTATGCAAGAGTTGGTTCTGGCTCTAAGCGGCCCGTGACTCCTGATCGTACGCCGAATGGCGATGACGAGTGCTCAGATGACAGCTGTGAGGAGTTGGACTCCGCCGACTGGACCGAGGAAGAGAAATCCAATTTTGTTCAAGCCATGTCGTCATACGGGAAGGATTTTGATGTGATAGCGCATTTGGTCCGAACGAAGTCCAAGGATCAGTGCAAGATATTCTTTAGCAAAGCTCGTAAATGCCTTGGGTTGGATCAGATTCATCCTGGATCGGTGCATGCTGTTTCGGGCGTTGCTAATGGAGGCGGCAGCGATACCGAAGATGGTTGCGTTGTGCAGACGGATTCCATCATTGTCGATGATAATGGCCCTGTTATCAAGTCGGAAGCAGATCTCTCGATAGCTGCTGCTACATGTGAAAATAACAAACATCGTACGAACCCAATCTTGGAGAGTTCATCAATGGATGATAAGCAGATTGCAAACCATGGTGCTTCTAGTGAAGGAAAAAGCGATGGGGTCATATTCTCCGCCCCGGATTCAGCTAAGGGGACTTTGGCTGATTCTGACTTTGCAGGATCATGTCGGGGAGAAAATGACGTGAAGGATTACATGTTGCACGTTGATTCGGGCACCAAGGAAGTAGAAGATACAGACGCCGATCCTGCTGAATTCACTGCCAATACCAGTCCAAGAACTGAGATGACATCCGATCCTAAGCCAGCTGGAAATGTCTGTTCGATGAAGGAAGCTGAGTCGGGTAGCCGAAAAGAGAGTTCTGAGAAGCCAACATCGAATGTTTGCTTGACATTGATGGAGTCAACGATGATATTTTCAGTTCCCATATCGACGTTCCAAAGACGCCTGAACAATAATAGTAGTAGTAATGTCGCCGGTGGGATCACTGAAAACAAATCTCCGGAAACAGTCCCATTGTGGGATACTGTTGACTCTCCCCAGATTCTCAGGGCCCGGGAGATTGGCGGCGATGTGAGTTTCAAAAGAAATGCGGTTCAACATGCTCCGCGGCTGGATGGAAATACGATGCAGCAACAATCAAATCAAGCTTCCGATTTCTCCATTCAAAAGTGTAGCACAAAAGATGGCTCTGGCTCTGGCTTGGGTTGCTCGTCTGATCTGGACAAGCCATCGAGGAACGGCGACGTAAAGTTGTTTGGTAAAGTATTGATTTCCTCCAAGCAAAAACCGAATTCCTCCTATGCAGAAGAAACTTGCAGCAACAATAAGGCAAGGTGCCAGTCGCTGAATCTCAGATTCAGCACCGAAGATCAGAAGGCTGCCACTTTGGATCATTCCACGACAATGTTTGGGCGTAATGAGTTTATCGGGTCTGAGAATGTCCCAGTTAGGAGCTGCAGCTTGCCGGATACAGGGATGAGTTTTCCTAAGTACCCTGCTGTGTCGTACGCCAACCATTCCAAATTGGAGGTACAAGGCAATGAGTGCGCCCCGATGAACGGTGGTGTACCTATTCTCCCAAGCAGCAGCAATGGCATTGCGAGCTATCAGAATCGAGATAAGGATGTGGATGTGGATGTATTATTCTCCGAGATGCGAAGGTTTGACGCGGCAATGCAACAAGAAGCAAGAGGGATGATAGGGATTGGTGTTGTGGGCATTCCAGATCCTGTCAAAATGCAGCAATATTCGAAATCACACAACATTAGTTTGGCACAGACACAGCCAGCAGTGAGAGATAACAAAGATGCAGCAGCAGCAGGGGATGAACACAACAATAAGAACAACAACAGCAGCAGCAGGTAGAGAGGCACAAATATGCATGCTTTCAACAAAAGAAAAGCTCTCGTATTCTATCTCATCCAATCCATTGTATTATATAGGGTTTTTTATTTTAATTTTTATTTCGATTTTTAATTGTAGTTTTAGTTTTAGTTTTAGTTTGTGGTTCAGGTGTTAGCAAAGGTAGAGCAGTTTGAGTGAGAAACGGTTCTCTCTGTTTTTGGGTCTCTTAAGATAATTATTCGTAGATGATGAATGTAATTAAGGCAGGGCAGGGCAAGGCAGGGCATCCCATGTATTTCCTCATTTGTTGTATCCCATGGAGCTTTTTGTTTGTTGTGTATGCCTCAATAATCCATCTCTCTCTCTCTCTCTTCAAAAGAATATGCCTCTTAATAAATAGATGACAACCCATGTGCCTATCCACCCGATTAACTCAACCCCGACCCGACCTGAACATAGGTACCAAGTGTAGGGGCCTGTGATTTTTTGTTTTAGCAGTGGGGACAAACAAGTACAACAAAAACATGACCTGTGGCTGTGGCTATGGTGGTGGGGACGAGAATAAATACTCAGTCAACACACATACTCCCAACCACTTCATCTACACCTAATTATTGCTCTCTCTCTCTCTCTCTCTCTCTATCTCTCCACATCATTTTCACACAAACCAGAAGAAAAGCAAGTGACCCAAATTAGTGGGTGTGAAGATAAAATATACAGCACAGCACAACATTGAGTCTCAATCTTCTAGAACTAGAAATGTGGTTCTACATATCCAATCGACTAAAAACTGCAGTGATTCCAAGTTCTATGCTATGCTCAATTTGGCATATTCAACTAAGAAGAATGAGTAATTTTGATAACCACTAAGTATTCTTATATAGATAAAGCATAACATTTGACACTCATCAAGACTATAGATATTAGCAGTGCATGAAGGGATATAAGGAGAGCACAAAAATGGAGCAATGTAATCATATTCAAATATAATCCAGAGACATCGCAATGGCGGGAGATGATGAATTACCAGGTCTGATTCCAGAACGTCGAGATGATGTCTTATGGTGTTAACACTTAGCCAAAACCAAACATATTGCAACAACAGAGATGCTGCTCAGAGTCGGTACAAACCATCTTCTGCTGTGGATTCTTCTTGCATCTGTAGAATAGGTGGAAGAGGAGCAGTGATCTGAATGATCTGCACAACAAGGAGATAAATTGTGTTTTCACTTTGGAACCATACAAATATCATTCAGCAGATTGGCTATCCTCATTTATTGAATTTTGATTGGACCATTGTGTGCAAAAAAGTTAGGAAAACCATCATCTACAGCACCAAAGACCATACTGTTTGGATTTCTATAAAGAAAAAAAGACCATACTGTTTGGATGCATAAGAAAATGTGGTAAAGTGTACTAGCTTGCAACCAATACAAAATGGAAATCGAAACTGAAACCATGAGTAATCCTCTTCAATACCATATTAGTATAATTTCATGATATTTTATGAACAAAAGCCTGCCTTAGTACGTAAGAAGAGGGTTTTATGTGGTTCCCAAACAAGCTCATAAATGCTGTTTATGTGGCAGTTAGTTACTACTTGGGATTTTGAATTGTGCTGGATCCATGTAAATATTTGCTTATTGTTATAGTACATGATGGACCATTGGCAATTACTAATACAAATGTAGAACTTGCCAATAAGAGACTCGGTAGACTTGTCCATAACTCATCATTTTGAACTAGGAAAAACTCGACATTTGTTCCTACCTCATTTGTAACAGGATGGGGAAAAACTACACGGTGTGCATGTAAATTATATCCACAGTCCCCCGGAACAGGTTTTTCAGGTCTTTTATATCCTCTGAAACCCAAAACAGAAGTGTAGTTATTACTGCACATAGATAAACACAGTATTTATGGATAGATTTCCTCTAAAGAATTATAATAGCTAGTAATCCAGTTGCCAAAAGGCTTCAGCAATAAGCGGATAACAAGGCTCATAAAATACTTGAAGTTGATATCAGAACATCACAACCATTAGATAAGGTGGCCTTTATAATTTTTCTTCCATGTGGACAAAATTAGAAGTTTAGAAACTATACTTGTTAATGCTCCCTATTGGTACATTTTAGCGACATTAATGATTGTCTCACTACCACTTCAAGATACCTTGAGATATCTCCACAAATATGCATTTCAAGCATGAAAGACATGGGGGGCCCAGGATGAGCAGGTAGCATCTTATCCTACTCATATAAAAACTTATAATTATTCATAAATGTAGGGTCTCTACTCTACCTTAAAAATAGGCAATATTTATATAGAAGCCCATACCAATCTTCCTTACCAATAAAAGCCAGATCTATCAGCTACATGCTTAGTTCTTATCCATAAACTCGAGCTATTTTTGTGCGTGCCACATGAATAGAAGATATACTTTATTTACTTTTATAGGATATAGAAATAATCCACTGTTGTGAGGTCCAAACGAAGGCAGTTAAAAAAGTGATAATTATCTCAACTGCAAGAGTAATAGAAGTTTTTTTTACCCATCTTGAGCAAAGCTTTGATCTAGAGATTCATGATCAGAGAAGTCTGGTACTCCACCTATGCTGTAAAGAGGATCACCTGCTAAGAAGTATACTGTCAAACAATGGCTGCTTGTAAACATACAGCAATAAAAAGAACAAACCTACAATGAAAGACAAAAAAAGAAATAAAAAAATTAAGAACTTTCTGAAGGGAAAATAAAAGATTGAATAGTATAACAATTGTTTTTGTTCATCAAAGACATACTGGTAATATGATACCATATTGTGCATAAATTAGATGATGTCAACGGGTTGTCAACCCAATCTCGTCTAAAAAATTAGGGCATATGTTCATCTTCAAAGGTCATCTACATAATAGAGACGTCATTACTCTTGGGCAGGAAGGGTATTCTACGCAGACTACAAAAGATGCTTTTACGTATTTAATACTAACACAAAAGGTTTTATGTATCTAATAAAACACAGGGTAGTGCATATATTTTTACTAAATCACAAGGACATATAATACAATTTACCATTAAAAAAAAAAAAAAAAAAAAACAGCCAAAGAACACACCCTCATTTTTGTGATCATCTAAAATATTGAAATAACAACATATTCCTCTTCTCAACACAACATATCTCCTATATAAATTCAGCATATTATATTAAAGATAAAAGCATATCAAAATCTTCATATTGCAATGATAAAACACTTATCAATATTTGATAGTTGATCTGCCTCCCAAAAATGAATTTCATTTCAACTGCCTGTTGGGAAATAAGAGCATTTCAAAAAGTTCTAAATATTTGGCATTTGAAGATATACAATAAAAACAATATTTGTTTGCTCACTTTAACCATTTTTTTCTTTTGTTTCATATTTTTTACTATTTAATATCTTAGTTTTCCTTAAAAACTATTATGTCTAAAAGTTACTTTTTATTCAAAACATCACATTTAATAATTATTTAACCTCAAAATAAAAAACACAAAAACAAAAGTAAAACACAAAAGCACCACCAAATGGCTTCTTTGCAGAGATGCTTAATTAGTGGGCTGTAAATTGAATTTAGTTCTATATTCAAAAGAATTGAAAAAATTCATATATATTCATGTCTAAATTATCATTCCACAAGGAAAATTCAGTTAAGAAGTAAAATCCTCATTCTTGAAAAGATGGTGATCTTTTTGTGTTATAAATACAGCTTGTGTTTTCTCGGTAAACTAAATGGAGAACATTTTTTATTTAGTGCAACAGCCCAGTGATAAATATGGTAGGAGAACCAAAACATGATTGCAACAGATACAGGATTTAAGAGTTTCAAGAGATAAATGTGTAATCCGCAATACAATAGCATTTGCTTGTCTAACTTTAGGTTTTGCCGTTTTTTAATATTCATCAATTCTTACCTCTCAAAACCGTGAAATCAAACAAATAATTTTTATTTAAAATAGGCAAAATTACACAGAATACATCCATGGTTTCACAAAATTGGAACAAATTTCCCATTCTTTCAGAACTACGTCAGACTCTCTTATGGTTTCATAAACTCTGAGTTTAATCCCCTCGACTGTCTTATTTAACCGTGTTTTGTCCTGTACACACTCAAACTGCGAATAAGTTTCGGAATCTCCATTTCTAAACCCTTAAAATTACAATTACAAATATAATCATTCTTTTCATATTTAGTCTCAAAGAAATTAAATATATATACTCAGAATAATTGCTTCCTCTGGTTTTAAGATTTTTTTTATTGTTCCTTAAGGCTAAATATAAGATGAATGAATGTATTTGTAATTTTAGGAGTTTAAAAATGGAGATTTTGAAATCCATTCGTAGTATGGGCACGTATAGGTCAAACACCGTTAAACAAGGATAGCTGAGGAAGTGAGACGTAGAATTTATAAAACTATGAGAGAGTTTGACGCAATTTTCAAAGTATTAGGGATTTGGCGCAATTTCGTGAAACCACATGTGGGTTTTATCCAGTTTTGCCTTTAAAATATTACATAAATGTTATTCATAACATAACATAAATACCTATTTACATCACATCAAAACCCTATTTGAATTTCTAGAATTTAGAACCAACTTTTACAAAGGCAATACTCCATATGAGAGATCAATCAAGTGTTGAACAATAACGAGATAATGAAAAAGAATCACACATGTTGAGAAAAAAAATGGCAAGAGAAAATGAACCTTCCATGAAATGGATCATTCAATAAATGAGAGGCGCTTACTATAACATAAATTTATGAGCTATAGATTCAAATGCAAACAAAATGTTTCAGTGCTCTCATAATTTAACAACATACCTATTAATGGATGCGCAATATAAGAAAGATGAATTCGAATTTGATGTGGCCTCCCAGATTGGATTTCAACCTTTTCAATGCGAAAAATCTAATATTATATTTCAGAAAACAGATAAAATTGGAAGAAACAAATAAAAATAGGCATATGTGTGCATGTGTATAAACGCACATTCATTAATTGTTAAACTATTAAGGATCTAAAAAGTTTTCATTAAGTGAGAGAAAAAACAAATAAAATGAGTTAGTGAAATGGCAATCATAAAGGTTGTTTGAAGGTTTCTTCCTACTGGCATTACTAATTTCAAAAGTCACAGGTGTGCATATATCTCAATTAAAACACACTTAACTTGATGGAACTACACACTCAGATTGGGCCCAATCTAAACACCAAATTCAAGGCTACGCACTCAATATTTGTTATTACCCATCCTCGTAGAAGTGAATTTGCATTACTTAATCAGCTAGCTAGTTCATAACAGGTTAAAAGAACTTAAAAATCTGCTCCAAATTATCTCTAATGTTGCATAGTGCAATAAATTATCCTCTGACACAATTCTCTCTTCCAAGATGGCCATTATATGAAGTCAGTATTCATATGCTGACTAATAGTCAATAATATTCGAAAAGGTGTAGAGAAATGCCTAAACTCTATTTGTTCATGAGATCTGCTCCAGGAAGATGTGAACTTCACCTTCAAAGACAAATCCATTCAGTTTAACCAAAATACTTATAAGAATTTGAAAGTAACCAGGAGAATAAACAGAAAGTAATTAATGAAAGTAGATGCAAGATTACTTCTCAGCATTACAAAATACAAACATTGGAATAGTGTGACATTTAATAAGAGAAGCTTTTTCATAGTAAAAATAGTCTAATAGCATGTCTATATTTCAACAGACAATATATAATTGAATGCTGCTAGCATTATAATGTCAAGTGTAATAATCAACCTGCACCAATGTAGAGTTTCTCTGCAAGTCTCTCTTCAAAACAGTAACTTTGCTCAAGGCTGATTTCCCTGACAAATTTTGTGCTTATTGTTCAGGGAAGGAGATGTACATTAATAACAACATAACAGTAAATAAAAACCGTAAGGTAAAAGACAAAAGGAACCAAGACTATTAATTTTCATGTGTATAATGGAATTTAAAAGACCTGAAGGGCAGGCAGCATACAACCCCTTGGCAACACCAGAATATCTGACCAGTCCAATGGGTTGATTAATGACAATCTGTCAAGAGATAATGTATGAGGAGTTAAAAAGCACAAGGGAGGAAACTGATGCTCTAATCCTTGCTGTCATTTATGAGGAATTTGTGCAAGACATTGAGCACTTAGAAAATCTATGTGAAGATAATGAGTATCAAATATGATGATACCTCATCCTCAACGATCACCCCACTGGCTAGGGCTCGGTATAGCTTTTTTATATTCCTTGTTACGTTTTGTCGTAGATCCATTTTTCTGTATATATAACAAGCATGAGTTACATGAAATGTCTGCAGGAAGCAAAAGAGAAAAGATAGAAACCTACATTTGAATGCTTTCCTTGAGCTCCGAATCAAAACACAATAGCTATTACCTCTTCATTAGTACTTTATATATATATATGCATAATATTATATAATAATTGGATTGTTTCATGATATACAAGGGAAATATTAGTTTTCAGTAATAAATATAGTAAATGGCTCCAAATCAAAACCCAGTAACCAATAACCATTGGTGCCTTATTTGTTAGTTTTAGCTCTATAAGTATCTATACAATGACTAACAATATTACAGTTTACATATTACGATACTAGTTTTCAGGAATAACAATATTAAATGCAAGTATGTATATATACAGGTTCATTTCAAGTTCAAACTCAAATAGAGGTAATCAAAGAACTTCAATAATTTTGCATAAAGTAGACATTTTTAGGAGTTGTAAATTAGAACTATATGTGTTAAAAACAAACATACTGGTATCTCCCTCACCTACATAACCCAACCATTGATGTCCCATCCGCAAAAAATGATGCCAGTCGTGATTTTGCAAACTTTGTTTTTGCACAAAGTAGTATTCCTAGATTCAAACACAAAAAGGAGACATGTTATTTGAAACCTTATCTAGAGAAGCAATCAATCAACAAATAACTAAATTATCAATTTCAGTTTAGTAAGTATACCCTTGAGCAGTAAAGAAATCTTATATGGACTATGAAATTAGATGATTTTAGTGTAACATTAGCCATAAGATAGTATACTTGAATTAAGAAAACAACGACTATCAAATAAAAAAGGCCTTCAATTATTAGTTAAACCTAAACAAAAAAATAATAAAAACAAAACAAAACAAAAAGAAAAAGAGAAAGAGAAATACTTTCATGCTGAGACAAATGCCAATGGAACTACTTTGGCAAAGAAAAAAAAACGCCAGTTTAGTTTTCTTACATAAAAAGTTAACTACAGCGGGAATAACAGTCTATCAAAAGTGATAGCCTAACATTATGCATAAAACTACACTCTTGAGACATATATTCGAATTAAATATCACAAAAATGTACTCTGAGGATAATTTGTGTCCGTGCACATGGAATAACTAGCTTTAAGGACTTACCTGATGTTCCCCTTCCAAGTCGGTGAACTGGAACAGGCTGAAGCTCCTGACATCCTGACATGGCCTGACTGCGTGCATGGCGTTGTAGTATGGTTAAGACTGTTCTCTGCTGGAATAATCCTCCAGGTAGAACTTGTAACCCTGAGGGTTTATTCAGAGCAATCTGAATGCAATGCACAATCAAAATTTAAGTTCTGAAACTAACCATTAACTAACTATTACCATGAACAAGACACAGAATATGTTATACTACACACTCCATGCCTAATCTAAATTTAATACCTCTCAACATATCATCATATTCATTTATGGATTGGAATGAGAATATTGAGAAGAATAATTCAAATTTAGCAACTATTGAGTTCATAATCGCCATCCCTGATGCAACAGGACATTTTTAAGTGTTCACCTAGTCCACTCCTCCATACACTATTATTAACCAGAAATGGAAGCTGGGTAAGCTGAATATGTAGAAAAAGAAATTCACTTGAAACTAGAATATTTGTGAACACAATATTCTGGGGCATTATTTATTCAACTTTTCTAGAAAATCAGCAGCATCTTTATAAACTACAAGCAAAGAAATTCTATTACTATAGTATTTATAAATTCTTCAACAACCCAAACTAGTGAACACATGAATTTCATCTCAATTGGTCTTTAGAATTTGAGAATACACCAAACACATAAATCAAAAGGCAAGCCTCGATCCATTCGTTTTTAGTTTACCACATCATTATCTTCATAAAGAATTTCCAGCAAATAGGGAGCATCAGGCTCTCTCCAAGGAAGCCGGTGATAAACTAGCTCTTCATTCCCCCTATACAGAACAGAAAACTCACATAACATCCCTGATCACAGAAGGACAGCATAAACATAATCCAAGCAACTCGAGTTCACCAATGACAGAAAACGATCAGTGGTCAAGTGACACAAAACAGTAGAAAAAAAAAACCTGAGGATCAAATCGGGGTCCGTCGCAACATTGCCATCTACAGTTATTTGCTTATTGCAAATTCTCTGCAACCAGCTGCTCAATATTCAATTCGCAATCAGGTTTGTTTACAATTCTTAAGCTGAATTCATCGTGCTTACCCGTTCAAAGGAGCAGAATTTTCGTACTTCCTCGAGTAGAACTCAATCAATGTCGCCCCTACGAATTCAACAAGTGAAACACAAAGGGGTTACTAAACACGGAGAAATAAATAAATAAATGATGGTGCGCAAGAAAGTGAAACAAACCAGTATCGGTGGCGCGGACGAGATCACGGTAGTATATGCCGTCGTTCAATTCCGGCCATGGATCTCCGAACGACACCATCATAGTGTGGGTACTGGGTAATAAGTCCTTCGACCCGAGGCAACTTCGTTATAACTCAACCAAGAGATTTATGCTCTGTTACACAAATTTTTGGAGACCTGGACACCTTTAAAATTTTTAGAAGTATGAAAAAGAAAATTAAAAGTTAATATTTCTTGATATTTTGTTAAAAAAAAAAATTGTGTTGTATGATTTTTTTAAAAATAAATAATGTCAAATAAAAAATTGATTATATAAATATTTTTGCATAATTTGTTATTTTTTGAATTTTTGAAAATTTTAAAAGAATATTATATCCAACATAAATAGTTCATATTTTCGCCCATATAATTTATTTTTTTTAAAAGTTATTATTGGTTTAAATTTTATATTTTATAATTAATCTATAATTATTTATATTATAAGAAAATTATTTTTACTGAAATTGTTTAAAGTTAAAAAACGGGTGGTCGATTAAATAAGATGTCCAATTCCTTCGAGTTTTATACGCAGCGGAAATATGAAACCGTCGGTAGTTTACACAATTTGAACGCGTCATTGTCTCACGGTTGAAATTGCAGTGTGTGTGCACGATTCTATGGGTGAACAAATGCAAAACAAAAACAAAAACACACAACCGAGTTTGGTGTTAAAACCTGGATTCAAATCCAGAAGTTTTAACTAAATCAAGTACTTGGTTTACACCATATAAGACATCAACCCGAACTATCTAACCTATCTTCTACTTAAACTCTATTTAGTTTATACTAACTCTCATGGACCGGCTGCTACTGCACCGTAACAACTCCAGCAGGCCAACAACCAAACTAAGAATAAAGTTGTTTACCGAATAATTATCTTCTTAGACTTCGACTCCAAGAGTCATTCTTCTCGTCTTCAAATCTGCATGGATAAGCTCTCTCAACACACTAAAAGACGGAAAGAATACACTATGAGTTCTTGATGCTCACCCACGAAAACAAATATACATACAAACAAAAATACAATCTTGCACACAAAACACAAAGTTGACTGTGTATCAACTTTGGGGCAGCTTGTACAGGGCAATAAATATCATACAGTACAAGAGGACATTATATACAACATTTCCTGCATTTCCTCTGTCCAACATACATACATTTGTCATGTTTTATTTAGTGTGGGACACGCAAAAAATACAACTGTGCAGATTTTCAAAAATGGTATCAACAGACAGCTGCAACAACCATTTGCACACTTGCTCATATGCCAAAAATATAAACAAAAAAGAGTTTTGACTTTTTTCAATATGCCAACATTTACTAACTATAATTTTTAAATTTTCATATCTAAAACAGGTAAGTTGAGGAAGGTTAGTAATAATTTGAATAAAAAAATATAGATAATTAGATTTAAATAAGTATTTTTACCTTTAAATTATGTCTTAAGCATAATTACAGGGAATTACACTCACTTCTTTTGAGAAATATTTGCTATAAACTTTCTATATTTTTCTAATTTTCAATTTTGTCATCATTCTAACTTAAATTCATTTTCATCGATTTTAATCCCAATTGACATGTTATTTTACGTGTAAGAGAGAAACACTTTTGGCGAGAGTATTATTGAAGATTTGGACGTCCTTTTGGTGATTTTTGGTGTCTTATGGTTGTTTCTTAATTTTGTCTTTTGATTGTATTGATAATGGGCTTTATGTATACTTGGATTTTGGTTGATGCTGTCCACAGATGTTACAGTCAATGTATGGATTATGGTGGACAGTCGCGGTCCATTCAATATGAAACAAATAATCCATTTGTTGCGGCCCAACTTGATCAATCCAACATATCCTAGAAATGATCATCGATTTTAGATGATTTGGCTGAGTTGAATAAGTAGATTTTAGGGATTTTGATTGAGATAATATTATGGAGTGAAGATATGGATTTATTTAGAATGATTTTGTTTTTTTTTTTTTTCTATATTTGACGTTCTTATCGTGTTGAGATTGTATAAATGTGTGAGATTGAATTAAAAGGGTAAAAAAATAGAAAAAGAACAGGGCAGAGAAGAGTGAATCGAAAGAGGGAACAAGATAATTGAGTTGGTAAAGGTTATAGGTGTGAATGGCTGTGGTAAGAAATTCTATGTGAGCGATAGTGCAAGATTTCTGAGGGCCATGATTCACACAACAATTTTGTACGCTTGATTCGTTCATCTTTGAGTATTTCCTGGGTTGGCACCCCCAAACGTAGATCTTCGATGCTTGAACTGGTTAAAAATTTGAATATTCCACGAACAACGTAACTCTAATTGTGTTGCTCGAATTTTTTTGCAAAAATCTGGTGTTGTTTAGAGTTGTTATTTATTTAAGGTGTTTGAGACCAAAAATTATTCAGAGGTCCACTCCACTAATAATAACATTGATGGCTTTCGAGTTGCCATTGAATTGAGCCATTTCTTCCGGAGTTTATTTGAGCCTTGGTTTATCCACAACCATGGTCTGCACCTTGTCGTCTTCTTTTCCTATTGACCAACCATGATGATCTTCTAAAGAGAAGTCCAACTATGTACCATTGAATCCCAACTTTTATCACTGATTGACATGATGAAATACATCCAACAATGAAGGTCTTATTACGAATGCACCTTCCTTTGCTGTCATGGTCACGTCCAAGATTTGAAAACTATAAAATCACGCAACATAGACTTGTTGTTTGCTATATGATCAAACCACAAATACACACACCGGTGAGATAGGATATAAAATAACATAAAGAAAATAATAACCTAGTTTGGATGCAATAGTATACATCTGGGCGGCTTCAACCCAGAGTCATCTTAACTCATCAAGGAATAGATCAGGCTTACAGAGTTACAATATACAGAGTTCGGATGCAACAATTTCTAGTATGATATCTCTCAACATGCAAATTCCTTGAAAACCTTATCTTTCTTCACATAACCAATTTGATTGTCACCCCCACCTCATCAAGAATCTACCAAAAAAATTCTTTATCTTCTCCTTAAAATATTTCTATCTCTTTTATCATTTTTTTTTTTTTTGGTAGATAACATGCCAAACAGAAGAATCAATAAGATCAATTTTCAATAGAGCCCACGGAATGAGAGTATGCTTTATCTTTAACAAGTTCATCATTTGGAGTGTCTGATGACATATTTTCTTAGAGCAGACTTAGAACTTGGCTAAGACCATTGTTGGCCATCATTAATCCACAACAAAAAATTTTCACTTGTTGGTGCAAGCCCAACATTTATTTTAGTGAAGATAAACATACCAAATCTTTACCAGTAAGGATAGGACTACTTTTTGATCATTAAGTAACAAGCTAGTTGGAGTGTGAGAGCAGATTCAAATCACAACATATTTGGGATTAGAAAAAGGATATCATTTTTTACAAAATTAGTTATTAAAGTATAGTAGGGGATCTCGAACCTTTTCTAATAGATCCTCACTGAACTCTAACATTATGATTAGAACCACAACCTCGAATTTTACAAATTCCATTATTTTTTAACACAATAATATCTTCTTTTTTTTTTTAATTTCAGAACCTATAGAGGAAGTTTATATTTGGAAAAAATTTGTAAGCATATACTAAAAAACAACCATTGATATCTAATGGACAATATAACATCGTTTAATACCTTTATAATGTTATAGAATTAAAGTATAAATGGTCTTTTTTATGAATTAAAATATTTTTAGTGAAAAAATTACAAAATTACAAAGAGAACTTAACGACGCCTACACGATTAGACTACACCTTATTAAGGCAATTAATACGAACTAACTACAAAGAAATAAAAAAAAAAAAAAAAAACTATTAAAAACAAAAATCAAACAATCCAAGACTTAGCTTCAAGCAATCCAATCCAATCATTCAAACTGATGGGCTCCCTATCCACAACCAATCAACAACAGCAACACAAAACTAGCCAAGGAAATACCAATTTAAAAATTGAACTCAGAAAAAAAATACCAAATCGACTAGCCAAAAAAAATTAAAACCAACACTGAGCCCAAGTAAACATCTACATCACAGTCCAACCCCTAACAATAATAAATAAATAAACCATCAACCCAATTCAATTTGACTTGAAAGGCCCTCCATAGACCCACCTCAAACTTAAAAATAAACAAAACCCACAGCCAAAATTTCTCTTATAACCCACCATGCCGCAACATCGTTATCACCGCTCAAATTAACTAATGTTCTTACAACCTTGCATTAGAGCAAAAAAAAATAGGCATAGTCTAAAAATCTGATTCAAATCCGATACAAAACAATCATACTCAGGTCTAAAAATATAGGCCAAAAAATCTTCGGATCGTGCCGGCTCAGTACATCTGATGAAATATTAGGTTATGGACTGGCTCGAATTGCTACCTTTATCTTGTATTGAAATACAAACAACCAATAAATGCAACCAATGTCGGCCCAAAATTCAAAAAAATTCAATGCACCAACACAACGTACCTGGATGAGTGTTGACTTAATTACAAAAACCGAATCATCTGAAAAAAAAAAAAAAAAAATTAAACAAAACAAAAGGAACCAAAAACACCATTTGATTACGTTTTGTGACAGCTCCACTAGCCACTAGCTTTCATTTATTATAACCAAGTCATCGGAATTGAAAAACCAAATCATAACTCCCACGCCAGCCAACTGCCAATAAAGGCTCAATAAATAATCAACCAGCCCCCAACAAACAACCTCCATCACCCACAACCAACAGTATGTTGGGCAGGAGGATCATGCCCAACAGTCATAGGGAACTAAAAACACCAATTGATGATGTTTTGTGACAGCTCCATATACTTATGAAACCATCTCGACTTTTTATCCATTATATCACTAGAAAGATTAGCATAAAACCGATGGACTTTGTACGGAGTGAGAAGACAAGCTCAATGATTTAAGTGTTTTGCATCCAAACAATCCAAACATTAAGTAAGTTTATCATAGACTAGTTTACCAAAATGTGATTCTTCAGTTAACTTAATATTTAAGATATTTCTTTCAAGAAAAGTTTTGTTGCTCCTAAAATAAAAAATTATGTGAACGTTCAGATAAGTAGGCGTCTTTTTTTTCTTTTTTTTTTTCTAGAACCATTAGAAATAATAAAATATCGTAGCAATGTGAACATAGCAACATCATTATCATTATTTGCAACATTCTCTTCAATGATAGTCTAAGAGATGATGATAATAACAATCATTTTGTAGTTTTAATGTGTGCATTATGTTATATTCTATGTAATAGAACAACAAATAAATAAACGCCATATTTGGTGTTGGAGCCAATTCTACATCGAGTTAGTGAGCACAAAACTTATATGCTATATATCAACTATTGTATTGTTCAATATATACCATAAATCAAAAGTCCTAAAAAGATTCTACTGTACGTGCCAATTTTTCTAATGAGGTGCGGAAATTACCATAAGTGTATTGATCAATTGTTGTTTTGACGAGTATAAATCAATCAATAGGTGAAAAATTATATCTGCATAAGCTTCTCATAAGATCAAAGATCACATGGTCACTACCAGTCATCGGCATCCATTTTATATATCCTTCTTTGATGTTTCAGCTCTAACCATCAGGTTGAAAGAACGCTCATACTATATCGAAAAGCATGCCCTAATCCTAAAATACATAATCAGGAAAGGAACACGGGCGCCCATGATAAGGAAAAAACAGCAAAGTTAGTGTTTTCAAGTGCCATACAAATTTATTCACATATTAACAACTAATTTGCAACGAAATTGAGAAACCATTCGAGAACACAAAGAAAATGTTCATGGAATGATAAGATAATAGGTTAAATCAAGGATAAAAGTTTCATGCAATGTAAAAGTTGTAGTATATGGTTCCCTTAAAAACAATTAATTATGTTCAAGTTTAATCAATGGTTTCAAGACTTTCATTGTCACTAGTAGTAGCATCATCGGCAGATATAAGACGAGTTGGACACGGACATATCCTGACATAGTATGGTAGCAGTGGTCTTGGGATTTTGAAAGAGAATCTATTCCTCTCGATCCCGGTAGCTAAATTGTCTGGGTTTGGGAAAAGGTACCTTAGAAGAGAATAAAACAAGGAATCCATATCAGAAATTGTAATATGATATAAATAATTTGATTTTTTAAGAGTGAATGGATACCCTTCAACTTCAACAATTGAACGAAGCCGTTTGTCTGATGGTGAAACATAATATCTGCAATAGATTGATTATTGGAAAGTATTCATGTTTTATCGTAGCAATGATTTAAAGGGAATTGAATAAAAGGACCAAAGAATTGAATTCTTACATATCTACAAATTTTGTTCCTCCTCTAGCTCTAATTTTCACGAGCCGTTGCCACCCTGGAGGTGTTTGGGGAAAGTTAGGCTTTTCAATTGCCCAAACCAACTACAATCTTGGTTTACGTCATCCAAATCCTTGCACGATATCTATGGTTTCCACTCTCGGGCTGCTTCACAAATGAAGGGTTGTGTATCAATGTGCTCTCGGATCTCCTCGTACTTTTCCTTTGTTGGGATTCATCTCCATTTGAAACAAATAGCACATTGGACTACCAAGGCAACTATTGTCGTCATAGTTTTCCTCGCTGATGGTTGAGTTTGAGAAGCATGGGGATCCATTGAGTATCTAGTTTGACCAACAAGATTAATATATGAATAGAAAAAATCTCGTATTTTTGAAGATAATGTCTTATAGCTTTTTAGTTTTAATCACTTATAAAATGTCTTGGCCTAACACCCAACAATTGTTAATTCAAAGTAAAAGTATGTGCTATAATTACATGTTGTCCCTAGTAAATAAGCCAACAAAATACTCCCTCCGTCCCATTACTGGATATCCATTTGTTTTTTGCACGTAATTTTAAAAATATTAGTATTATATTAAGATGTAGCAGAAATAAAGTAGAAATGACTAAAATAACTTTATTAGTATGTGTGATATAAAAGTATTTGTGTAATTGTAAGTTGTAAGTGTATTTGTAATGTTAGATAGACAGTACAGTTACTAAAACAGAAATGAATAATTTGTTATGAGACAGACTAAAATGAAAAAATAGATACTTTGTTATGGGACAGAGAAAGTATATAAAAATGATATACCATAAATACACAATATTAAGATATGATCTCTTTAATACTTATCAATGAAGAACATCTTCGATTTAAAACATCATACAACCACACACATGTATATAGACATGTAGGGTCTTAAAGAATGAGAAACCTGTGAAATGACTATTTTGCCATTCTGAAAATTTGTGAAACTCAGAGGGATATCATATTGCAAAATAAAAAATATTGGTTAAGACTAAACTGTCTTTGACCGAATTTAAGATATTTATGACCGTCTTAATATAATTTTGTTAGTGGTAAATATTTTTCCATAAATATTAATACTTATATTATTATTACTAGGTAACAAATAGTTTTTAAAGGATAATTTATAAGTCAATTTTCATTGAATGCATAGAATCTATTTAAGATTTTGATTTGAATATAAATTTAGAATAAATAATTTTGAAAGCATGCGTATTGAATCTCAAATCTATTTGATTCAAGATAAAATTTCTAAAAAACATTTTGATAGCATCAATTTAATTCTACAAAGTTTTACATCAAATGGGATTGAATTGATATAGATTTTCTAGAGTATTTTCTTTGTTATAATTTAAATTATCTTGAATCGAATATAACAATGAATAGAATCGATAAAGAAGCTATCATTAGACTAAGAGCATCATTGATTTCGTATTTGGTGGAATAGTTCAGAGTGAATAAGCAAAGTTTTCTAAGGATTAATAAATAAAAGAAATCAACTGTGAATATAATTTTACACAAAGCATGTTAAAACAGAAGAAATTAAAAAAATAAAAATAAATCAACCATTGTCAAAAATATCTTGATTAAATCTTTCAAAATGTTTATCAAATTTAAATCACTTTGTGAGGCTTTTTTAGCTTAAGTGGTGAGTTACGGCTTCTATCAAAATAATAAATATTTAGAAGTTAACCATAATTCAAAGGTCTATTCCAACATACATTGTAATAGATAATAATTTATTACTCCCTCCGTCTCAAATAAGGTGCAACATTTGCTTTTGACACGACTTTTTAGGTCGGTAGTATTAAGTAGGATAATTTATAAATTAGGTGGAGAGAGAAATATATATTTGGATGATGTGAGGGGATAAAGTGTGATGTAGAAATTAAGTATAATTAATTATTTCCTATTTTGAAAATATTGCATGATGTTTGGGACATATCAAAAAGAAAATATTGTAGGGTATTTGGGACATGGGGAGTACAATTCAGCCACCATCGAGACCTATAGTCGGGGGTTCCCAACACAAGGAATTTTACTATAATCAAGACAAAGTTGAGCAAGTTTTATATAGTGTGTTTGTTTGGGGGTTTGGATTTTGAGTTGTGATTTAAATAGTAAAAATTTTGAATTTGAATAGTTGGATGATGTGATATAAATAGGTATTGATGTGATGTTTTGAATATAAAATTATTTTTTAGTATAATATAAAAAATAAAAAATAAGTGTTTGATTTGATATTTTGGAGAGAAAAAAATAGGATGAATAGTTTATTTAAAATCCAATCCCCAAATCTTTTCAGGTGCGACTTGTCCCATAATCACAATCAAGAGAAAGACCAATTAAATGATTGATCCTATAAGTAACAGTTAGGAATGTCAATGGGGCTAGTTCGAAACGGGTTTTGCAAGCCCCGGCACCCGTCCTGTTAGAAAATATTATGACCCAAGACCCTCTTCGCCCCGCTTCAACCCGGCCCCAGGACCCGTAATGCTCCGAACCCGGCCAACCCGATAAACCCGCTTTTTTTTTTTAAAGAAAAAAAATTATAAAAAAATTAAAAATAATTTAATACTAAAAGAAATATGCGTCAAAGTAGCAAAAACTTATAATTCTAAAAATAAGAACAATTAAATATGACGATAGTCCGTAGTGAGGGCGGTCAGCAGTAGTTCCGACTATAAAGAGAATTGTAGGAGAAACAACTGCGAACATAAATTTGATTTAGAATTAAAGTTCTATTTTATATTTAAATTTTTAAAATAAATAAATAATATAATTTATATTGTATAAAAATATAAATAAATTATCATAATTATTAAAGTATCCGGGTTCGGGTCCAAGTTTGGGGTGGAGCGAGTTTATAGTAAAACTCGTAACCCGCCCCGAATCCGGCCGGGTCTAAAACTCAAAATCCACAATCCGCCCCGAACCAAATTTTTTAGACCCGAACTCACCCCATTAAGACCGGGCTTGGGGCGGATCTGGGGCTAACCCCGCCCCATTTGACATCCCTGTTAACAGTCCTACGTTGTCTCATGCAATCTTTGAATGCAGTTTCAATTTCAAATCGCATATATTTAAATCTATTCAAAGTCATTCAAATAAAAATTGACGAGCAGAACGCTACTTGTATCGTGCATGTCGGTTTTGAGTGGACAATTAAATCCCCGTGGGAGACATGCGCGGAACTACACGGGGGCTTTGAACCCCAATTATCAAAATATATGTATTTTTATGTAAAAAAATAATAAAACAATGTATTTTATAGTAATTTACTTCTCCTAATTTTTTTTTATTTTGTAATGTAAAAAATCATAAAAAATTTATTCGTTTGTGGATTTATACTTTTAGTTTTCCAATTTTTTATTGATTTTGCCCTCCTCTGAACTTTTACTGTTGTTTTCGTCACTGGTGGGAGAGATTGCTTATAAAAGGCCGTGCTTCGATTCATTCAAAACACACGAAAAATATCCAATTCCTCTTCTCTTCTATCTCTCCCCTCCTATTGCTTGTTTCCGGTGATATTTCCGGTGTGTTACCGATAAAAATCTAGGTCATTCTCCTTATTTAAATCTTTCGACATATTAAAAGTGTGCCTCATTTTAGTTCGTCGGAGCTCCAAAATATTGGGGTACCACTTAATTTGGAGATGAACGTCGTTCATCTTTGGAAACATTGTGCCACGAACTGGAGGCACTACCGGGGCGTATTCGTTTTTACGGAGAGATGTTCTACTTCGACTCGACGTGATTATCGAATTTATTTTGATAAAGAAAATTATTTGTAATTATCAAATTTGTTTCGATAAATTGATTATCAAATTTATTTCGATAAAGTAATTGTGAGTATCCGATTTATTTTGGTAAATTGATTATCGAATATACACTACAAAAAAATATCAATTTTGTAACGAGATTTTTTCGTTCTTAAATCCACTTTTTCCGTTATTAATGATATTAGAGACGGAATTAGTGATGGAATTATGTTAGCTACGTGAACTTTAGGAATGAAATTCCGTTACAAATATACTATTTTTTTGTAGTGATATTTCGATAAAATTATTGTGATATCGAATTTATTATGATAATTATATTATTGTAATATAATATTATTTTTATATTTCTAACCTCCCGTCGTTTCAAATTTTGTTTAAATTATTCTAAAGCTAAATATGATCAATTGTAATAATTCTTATAAAATTTGTAATTGGAGATCAAGTTATTCAATGGAGGGAATTTTTAAGCTTTTTTATCCACAATACTTACAATTTTAACCCAAAGATCAATTTTAATTCAATTAAGAATGGGCAATTTTGTTTTTTCAATGCTTTATGTTTTACTAATATACAAAATTATAAATAAATAAATAAATATTAATTTATTATTTAGTAATTTAAAATAATGATATTATATAATTAAAATAAATTGAGTTTGACTTATGTATTCAATTAGTATTAAAATTTATTGTTGGAATGAGTTTAGTACTATAAATGCTAAATAAAATTAAAAAATATGTGTTTTGTTATGATTTCAAATGCAAACTATCATTATTCATTCCGCATGATTTTTAATCGAAATATATTTTTTTAACATAAAAAAAAGTACATCAACATACCATTTAATAAAAAATTTCAAATTAACACTCAATTGTAGCTTAATTTCAACTTACAAACAAACAATCATATAGATATTAAATTGTATAAAAAGAATTTGAATTATTATATAATGATATATATATATATGCATATATAACTACCTTAAAAAATAATAATAATAATATAAAAAATTACAAAATTCAAAATAATAAAATCATTATTTAAAAAATTCATGACTTCAACTAACATCTCCGGACTTCTCAAAGATTTCATACATATCGACTTCAATGGCCTACCTAGTTCCAGATTCCCACGACTTCCCAAGACTTTTTGGCGTGTTTAGATAGTTGGATTTTCATTTTTCATTTTTTTTTTTTTTTTTTTTTTTTAATATCTTCTGTATAATTGGTTAGGGTCAAGTATAGAGTATCTCCGTTCTTTATTAGCCTTTACTCCGTCAGACCATCATCTTCTGGAGTTGGGTTCCTGCCCAAACCTCCATTTGACAGATAATGTTTCTTCGAGAATATTGCAAAAAATATACCTTATTTATACTCTATTATTACTTTTGTCTTATATTTATTTTGCTGATAAAATATATCATGTATGTTTGCAAAAATCGTTATTTTTGTCATTTAGCTGCACGTGACATTCACACCACGCGCAGTGACACGCGACCAAAATATATAAATAGCGACTTTTG